TTAACCTATGCAACGGCCAAAGCATCAAGAAATTGTTTGAAGGAAGGTTCATTGTATTGCATTGAGGGAATAGTGTAAGCTTGTCTTGGACTGGACAGGAGAACGATTAGAGCTTGCAACCAAAGCCTTTGGTTTAAAATTCTGACCGCAAATGTTTGTTTGGGGGGTTGACATTGGGCAACGTTGAGTCTGTTTTAGGAAGAAAGGAGTAATGCTCACTCTAACGTCCAACATGGACGGCCAGGAGACTAAGTTTGTCTGACCTCTAACCATTGACCAAGCTGGTGTGAGTAACTCTGAAAGTGCAAAAGCACCACGCAGCGTAGCTCAGTGGACAGCCCAGGCACACAACTCCTCCCAGCAGGTTGAATTCCAGTCTTGTCAAGACGGAGTGCAGTACAGTGGTTCGCAACCTTGTTGTAGTCATTAGAACTAAAGCTGGTTCAACCTGAACAAACACTTAGTTTAACCACCTCAACTGTGGGCCACAGTAGTTTTGTTTTTGTATAATAGGTTTAGTAATTTTATTATAATCAACGTGTTACTTTATTTCCTCACACTTTTACCACGTTTTTCTTTTATGCAAACTGTTGCTGGTGAGCGCAATGTAGGTGACATTTTCGTTAGAGAACGTCAACGCATGAACTATAATCGATATTAAGCGGCGTGCATTCAACTACTTCACCTGATTTCGCTTCACATCCACGTAAACCGTTATATTATTGGAAAGTAGCGAAGTCGGCGACATCAGTCTCACATACAGGAATTGGTTATAGGGAGGCGAACGACTACCTAACTTAAACCGTCGAGGGACGATCCAATGAACGCAAGACCTAGTGGCACCGCCTTGCAGGCTCGTATTCGCTTTTTAGGTAATAACGATTATTACCAACAATGATCTAATTCACTGGGCAAGCACTGCTGAAATGTCACTAATGACTAAAGATTAATAAGTAGGTAGGTAGTTAGGTGAGTTGGTACAGGTTGTTTCGGTTATAATAAGTTTGCTTCACAAGTGGGTAACGACTGAATCCCTGTGTACTTCTTTACCCCTGTAAGATTCCATTTTACTGTTTTGGGGGTAATATTACTCCCAAATACTGAAGCCGCTTCAACTGTCTTTGACGTTTGCCCCTCAAGTGCGCCATGTGATGGAATTCCATGCTGCGCTTCGCAAAAGCTGTTTAGATGTTTGTGGAGGGTTGTGTTTCTTCCAGTTAGTCTGTGTATTCCCATTAGCGCGGAAATTTGTCCGGGATGATCAGTCGGACGCAGTAGCATTCGATTTGCAGGCAATCCCTATTTGGAGAGTCCTTATCAACTCTACATCCAATATATCTTAAAACCTTGCGTCTTTATGTATTGCTCTTCAAAAATAATCGGGTTTTTCGGGCATATTGGAGATATTCCGTTATAATACGTTCACCATCATCGGTCCAACCATGGCTGTGAATTTGCCCACCTGAATTCCAGGATGCCATTTGCTAAGCACTTTCAGGTCTCTTATTTCACGGGCGTGGATAACGGATCATGGTGCGTAGTAGTATACACTTTATCGGTGGGGTCGCCCGGTTACGTATGGTATACGTAATTTTCTAGTATTGTTCCATGGTCACTACACCCAGAAGGGTACTTGTAACCACCACGTCGCTCGTTAATTTTCTATATAGATTAAGTTTTCGAAGGGGTGAAACATAACGAAAGCTAGGTAAGAGCGTGTGTAGAGATGGCAGCTGCAATGTTATCGGTGCAATTAGGATATGGTTTGCACGTTACTGAGCGTCAGCTCATCCAGATCGTTGGAAATTAAGGTCTCTGCCAATGCAGGTTTGACTGTGTCTCCAGTTCGGCACTGTCTTCGAAGCTGTGGGCAAACTGTAATCCACTTCTCACGCCAAGGGTACCACTTCGCTATTGCACCATGATGCAAAGTTCTACGCGTTTCTCACATGATGGCGATAAACTTCAGTTTCGGATGTGGGTACAGCAGCTATTGAATTTAAACCCACGACATCATGTTAACCTTCTGTTTCGTCATGCGATCAGTGACTTTTCCACGGAATCTAGTTACCGACTTACGCTAATGCCGAAGGAACCTGTGCACAATGCAGTTAACCGTGCTCAACAAATGCATTTAGGTCTCACGGGACACCTTTTCTTGCATTCGAATGCTAAGCTTTCCAAGTTCATAAGAATGGTGGGACAAAGCGTACTCTCTGAGATCATTTGCTGAAGTTCTGTTACAGCAGAAACCACCGTGTTGCAACCATCTTCCCAGTTCACAAGCAAATGATCTCCAGAACTATTATAAACTTCAGCGCATTAAATTGCAGCTTTACAGATGGTCTACACTCTCCTTACCTACTTTAGTATACCATAGAAACTGACCGTTTTGCTGGTGTAACATCTTAACTGTCTGCGTCCCCGAACAGTATATGGAAACTAGTTCACTACACAAATCCGTTGGATACCTTCGTCACTTTTGGGACCAAAATATCTTATGAGCGTTCAGACTTGAGCGGGCAGCTTTTGCCAAATTAGAGCTCCTATTCTTCAGAACCTGGCTGCTATTGAGGACTATGACTTCACATCATCGACAGTATATGGGAGAATACCGGGGAAAACTGGTTAATGCTCAAGTATAACGCGTTGTACTAACAACTGTCCAGAGTATTTGCCTCCGCAAGCCATGACTGCTTTGGCGCACATGGCTAAGGGCGGACCGCAGCCTCTATTGGCATGCAATGTACTTTTTGTGAGGTCTCGGTACTAAGAAATTGGCATTGCAGCTTCTCACATCATTTACGTAAGTTGAATATTGAGTTAAACAAGGCTGAGAACTTTCTGTAAAGAAATAGGGTCACGCCAAATGTCTCCGGAACTCCTTAATACTTGAAGAAGGTGCAAAACTCCTTTAATCGCTGACATAGTCAAACTTTTTATTTTCTATATTCATTTCCGCGCATTTCGCTCTTTGTCTGAGGTTAGTATCTCTGTCAGCACGAGCTTCCGATAGCCATCCGGTAGTTGTCCGATAGCCATCCGTTAGGCGACTGATTTGCCGCCGGGATGGAGATGCTTCTGTGGTGGAAACCAGAAGGTCAAATAGGATACTCATCAGACGGACAGACTGGAGCCTAGTCGAATGGACTCGTACTCCAGTTGCTTAAGCGTGTTATTACCCCGTTTTTCCCTACATTACCGGCAGCTTTTTAAGTAACAAAACACGCGAACAGCATTGAGAAACTGTTGCTTGTAGGTAACATGTAGCGGAAGTTACAGAAAATGATTCTGTTATACAATATTGTTCAGGCCTAACGACAAGTTTAAGGACCTAGATTGCCCCGGTTGTCGCAAAGTTTTATTTTACCCGACTCGTTGGATCCACTGTCGGATTGTGTCGGCAACTAAAGCGTCCGTAAATTCATGTATTGCTTTCAAATTATGGCGTTTGAAGTAGTCTTTAGTTAAACGTAAGATTTGTGCTTGCAGGTGATACAGCGCACATACAGAGTAATGTGATTCGATAGTTTTAGTTTGATTTCACACCATGTTACAGTACGTGCCGACATGTTGCGCGCGGAAGGGACCATAAACTTTCGTTCCACGTCAATGAGCGATTTCCCACCTACCTGAATACCGACATCAGATATATCCTAATTTTATCATTCTGGAAATGAATGCTATATTGGTCAGTTTAATAATGAAGTTATCAAGTCGCTGACGGAGTCCATAAGTAAGGTGTACGGAGGAACCTCTTTGCTTTCTATCTAGAGCCCCTGATAATGATTCTAATATCCCACACATTAAATTGCTATTTATCCACAGTCCGGCAACAGTTTTCTGGTTGTTGTCTGTCCGATGGTTCCACTAGGGTATGAAGGCCGTTCTGTTCTCATTATAGCCATCTGGTAAACACTGATAGGTTAATTCAGGAGGACTTACTTGTTGGGCTTCGGCTTGTACCCGTTACTTACTTCTTAAGTATGATTTGTGGCGCGCAAATGTGACATTATTTGTCACGATTGAATAGCTCATAATGGCAGGTTGATTTCAGCTTTGTCATTGAAGGGAAGCGAGTCAACTTATATGCATCTCTGTAGTTCTCTCAACCGAAAATTCAGAGTGGCCATCACTTCGATCCAACTGGGCACAGAACGACTCCGGGCGGTATGCCAGTTAGTGGCGTTTCGGAGTACTGAGCAGAGGATTTGGCGAATTGTAATTCGTGCGATAGATCCATACATGGACGCGAGCACGAGATGCGCTTAACCCGCCTTACAGTTGAGTAAAGTGAACCAGACTGCATGGAGCATGCGGTTTTTTATCATGACATTTCGTTAAAATGCTGCATGGGAATTTTTCCTCTGCAACACTTATGGAGCTGTAAAGATTCTTTTACCAGTACCCCGATTTGCTTTAAACTTTCCATTTATGCCCAGCTATGTCGCAGAACTCGGTCCTTCAGAAACAAATGGTTTATTCGACAAAGCGAGCTCAGCAAATATGACTGCATGACAAGTGTATAGGAACGTCAATGTAAATGACTAAGTCGTTTCCCAAACCAACGGTGCAGCTGCCTTCATGAGATTGTCCATTTGAATCAGTTAAACGAACCCTCTGCAGCGAGCCAATCAGCACGTAGACGAAATATGCGTAGCTGTCCAATCAAGTGCTCTGTTTGCTTGAGGCACGCCTGCCGCTTTCTTCGCCATATAAATCGTATCGTCCTTCTAGTTGCGCAATCCCGTCACATCTGCACCTAGATTTTCATGACCGTTTCGGCTGACATGTTCTTATAAGGCTATTTCCAGGACTTTAAAGCACCACGCAGTGGCTGCAGGGACTCAAAGTCATGATGATAGATTTAAGTCCACATTAAGCAAAGATGCTTTCCATCAGTCAGATCTCCACTATATTTTTTGTAACGTCTACCTAACAGTGACAGGTTGCGTTTCCTCCTTGTGCTATCCCATTGTTTTCTCTTGTTGCCTTTGCAGCCCGAACTCAACCAATCCAGGAATGTGTTACATATCTCACCGTGGCAGGTGATGGTTATTCCCATTCAGCTAGACTCCAAACTTGACACTGGAGGGAGTCTGGAGATTAGTCTGCAGTTAGATGCCCTCGATCCGACCGTTGGGCCAAATGGAACGAATTCGAAGGTTTGTCTCCTTCATTTTTCCCACCTAAGATTTTACTTATTTTTGTACTCAACGCTAAACTTCCCCGCTCCTATGACGGTGTCCATTATCACCTTCTGAAGGTAAGCTCCAAGAGCGTGATCCTTACGTGAACAGTTGTCGCACAGCCATCGAGTTTACAGGAGTAAGCATGCTCAAGAGTGCAGATGCGAAACCCACACCTTAGACTGTTCTCGTTTTAATCACGACTGATCATGTTAGCATCGTGTAATCCTATTCGATGCATCACATGGCTTGATGGTGATATCCAATGGAATAAATAGTTGAACTTGAGGGGCAATCTAGAAGACAAATGTGAGGGAACACCGACGGATTTGACTCCAAGCTACACCAGGTATATTCGCCAGTCTACACTGTTGAGTGTTTGACATAATTATTTGTTTACCTAAGTCAAATTAGTCGCAAAACTCTATCGTTCAGGGGCAAGCGGGAAAGACAGCTTGGCGAAAATGACAATATTTTGGGAGGTCAAGCAGGTTCACATCCAAATCTAACGAACCTTCTGAGTCGACGAAGTTCCTCCTTTGCTTCAGTTGAGCAAACGGTGAATCACTCACACGAATATCAGCCAATCCGAATCCAGTAATCGAATCCGTTGCACCAGTCTCCCATCGACTGGCTCGCTCTGTTGGTTCAGCTGCTCACTCTGATCTGATCCTAGCATCACATCCTCCCTTTTTTCATGTTCTTGCGCCTCAATACTACTATGCACCCCACACACTTTCCCACTCCGAGTCCTCTTTGCTATTTCTGTGGTTGTGGTTTCCTTGCTCTACGCCATAAGGCACTCCAGTGTCTTCAGTGTAGCCTCAGATGCAATCGATTTCTTCTGAGCGTTTTCCCTCCCGTATTTGTTTCGTATGACCTTACGCCTACCTTCGCAGTCTTCACACCTTCATTCCATCACACTTGACCATCGGGTAATGGTTGAACCCACACTTCCTCCCCACTGTTAACTCAGGTAGTACCCGTGGACGGCGGCCATAGTACCGTTTCTAAGTGGTCATTCATCTTCTTAGACTGTTCTGTAATCTCTCATGCTATGGCGAAACTGGGAGCAAAAGTGTGGCACATGCAGGCATCAGTATTCTTGTCTTTCGGTTGTATAGGCGTTTCAATGGGCTCAAACCGATATCCCTTGAAGGTGTGTTGCGATCCTGCAGTAGCATGAGGTACGGTGCTTTGCCATTGTCTCTAGCGTTTGATAGCAGTCGCTCAGCCTGCTGCACTGCCGACTCCGCCTCTCCATTGGATTGATTGTGATATGGGCTAGTTTCCTGGTGCATGAATTCCCTCCTGATTACAAAGGCATGGAACGCAGCGTTAGTAAACTGAGGACCATTGTCGGAGACCAGCTCTTCCGGTATTCCGTGCCACACAAATTGACATCTGAGTTTGTTGATTACTATTTCTTTGGTCTTAGTGGTGAGTAAATCGAAGTCAAAATAATCACTGTAGTAATCCACTGTGAGTTGGTAATCTTCCTCGTTGTCACAGAATAAATCCACCGCCACCTTCTGCCACAATCGGTCAGGGACATCATGCAGCATCACTGGTTCTCTCATCAGCCGGATATCATGTGAACAGCACACCTCACAATTCCGCACGTGATCCATTATGTGACCCGTCATTCCTGGCCAATTCTCTTGCTCAGTTAACGTTATTGTTGGCACCCAGGTGTGAGCGATGAACGTATTGCAGCAGTTGTCCTCAGAGAGACGACGGAATCAGAATACGGCTTCCCCTGAAAGGCAAACAATCATAGACAGAGATTTCTTCCAGAAACTGGAAGTAGGGTGTTATTTAGTTCGTTCAGCACCTGCTTTGTCTGTGGCCATACATTAAGGATGACGTCTCGCAAAGCTGAAAACGTTGCACTTTCCTCTATGTAGCGCCTTAATTTTTAGGCAATCTTCAGTCTTTGCCAGATGCCGTACTAGGTTAACTGCTTCTACCACTTCCGGATGATGCTCGGCTGCCGGCAGATGAGCCCTTGACTGCGTATCCGCGATGAACACCTGTGCACCAGACGTCTACACAATATCCACTGCACACTTTTGAAGCCGGATAGGCGTATGCTGAAGACTACTAGCTATCGACAAAAACTGGTTGAGATCGGTACACAGCTGTCTTTCGTCTGACCATGGGCCTGCCGTTATCCCGTCTAGTAGCGAATTTGTACATAGAAGACTACGAAAAGAAAGCGCTAGTAATCTCCGGCAGTTCAATGAATGTTTGGTGATCTTACCCAGACAATACTTTCGTGAAAACAAGAAGAGAGGATAAGAAGGAGGACTTACCAATCTATCTAAACTGCATTGACGGGAGGCTAAACTTCACTGTGGACTCTGAGTCGTGCAGTGGTACAATACCATGTCTTAACTGAGTTGTTCATAGAAACGGTGGGAATTTCAATACAAAACTGTACCGATGGGATAGTTCATTTCACTTCAGGTCATCTAAAGTGCGTTTACGCGGTGATATCCTCATGGCTGTTCCACAAGGCACAGGCCTTTTGCACAACGGAAGAAGATAGAAGGGATGCACAGAAAGAGGCGATGAGCAAACTACTGGATACGGGTTTTCGGAAATGTCGAGCGAGACATCAGGTACGAAAATTACTAAACCTACAAGCACGGTCCACAACGCAGTGGATAAGAACAGTAGGAATTCCTTACAAAGAAGGAACCTGGAAAGCAATTCGAAAAATACCGTACAAGGGTGATCTTCTAACGTGGTTAAATCTTACCTTCAACGCTAATGCGCCTGATTATCACCACCTAAAACTCGCCTATGCACATTATTGTTTCGGACACGCTGGTGCCTTCCAATACCAGCAATACTTCGCAGACCACCGTGATCAAAGACTTGAAGGCGCCCCAGACCTTCAGACCGAATGCGCCAAGTTTCACTACCATAGAGCAAAACGGCCCTCACTGTGGCCTTGTATACACGGCCTTTCAGACAGAAGGAAATTCCCTTCTGTCGCCAAAGATGCCGCAGGTTCAAGAAGCCAGCTCTGGCCTTTGCAATGCGTGAGCTGACGTCAGTTTCTATGCGCCCATCATTGCTGATGCAGCTGCCAAGATAAGTGAAATGATCGACCACCTCGAGTTCCACGTTAGCAAGCGTCTAGGGGTCATCAGGTGGCTGGTGGTCCTGCAGCAACACTTTGCACTTTGGAGTGCATAAGCTACTGTTGCCTCCACTAAAGGAAACAGCCTATTGGCGCCAACTCCCACTGCTTGTACCAATTCGTATGTAACTGCGGGGATAATTACATAGGCAGAACAAATAGAACACTGAGTTCCCGAATAAAGGAGCATGTACCAAAATGGGTTCAGCAAGCTAGCTCAACTCAGACTACATGTGTACGCAGGCCGCCAGCATCTTTGATCGGCAGGCACTTAAAACATCGGATCACCGAATTGAGGTCAACAAGGCGTTTCGAATCCTGCTTCGTCATATTAATTCCCGGCTCATCCAGTTTGCCGAGGCTATTGCCATTAATCGAATAAGGCCAGTGCTTTGTGTTCAAAAACAATTATCGGTCAGCCTCAGGCTGCCCTAGTTTTAGAGCAAAGACACCCGTTTTTCTGTATTTTGCTGGTAAATCGTCGGGAATAGCTGCAGTCATCCATGCCTTTTTATTATCCTTGTAAACTGCCGGTAGTTTATCAGATTGATATATCTAAAATTCGGGTGTTTGCTGAGTTCCAAATAACTGCAGCCGGTTATCGCTCCGCCATTGTGGTAGTGCAAAGCATAAATTTGCTTCTTTCCCACCTGCACATTTCCAACCTTTTACACAAATCCTTTTTCTGACGTCGTTTTGATTAGCAAAGCAGTTTCATGTGAATTAATAATGTCTAGAGCTGTGAAGCCGGAACATATTTCGGGCAACTTTTCTTCCTAGTCGGATGCAGCACATATATATGAGTCACCGCTTTCACCCGATTGCTTACCAAACACAAGATGAAAGCCTGTAGCCAAATGTTTGACGACGTAAAGTCTGTGTTGTGCAATTCTCTTGCTAAGTTTGACGCTCGTTTTTGAATCACGTCTCCAGATAATGGGATTTTCCCGTCAGTACTGACTGGCACTCTTTCCAGCAAGGTGCGTTCATATCTTCGTTACCCATTTTGCTATCACCCATTCTTTTCAGTCTTTTTGTGTGCTTCACAAAGTCATTCAAAAACGGCTTTCCTCTTTTAGGTTACATGAATTTGTGTTCTTCCTACTGTGCAATTTTGCGCCAATGTTAGCGAACTCTTCCTTCTTAACATCGTCGAATCAATGATACCAATTCTTTAAGTGTGAATGCCTTTGACTTTGGTGAAATGGAACTAGCCAATTTGTCCTTCATAAAAACGCTCAAAAAGAACTATAAAAGCAAACGTGAATATTCGGTAAGGACGTACGTCAGCAGTATCCGCTCAGTTCTGACAATCCACTGGTTACACAGTAAACAAATCCACACAGGAACTGAGAGTCACAGTACTTGCGACTGTATAACAGTATCACAAACCCCAGAGTGCGCGAGGGGGTACCACTGCTATTTTATTGTTTGACATGGCTCTATCAGATTTGTTCATTGCACAGCCCATAGCATCCTACATGCATTAGTTACCTTGGGTGGAAACCCGGAGGCGTGATGCATCACTCGACAATTCTGGTGTGGCTTCTGCAAAGCGTAGGTTGTCCAACGCGCCTGTCCAGAAACGGCGAAGAACGCACGACACGGATGACGCTGACCTGGCATAGCAGTACGTGTCCAAGACACCGCAGCTGACGCAGCGGGACGAGCTACTCCAGCGAATGGTTGCCTCCACCCAAGCCATGGTGTCTAACTTTCACATTGGTTACGTGGTGCAGCGGCTACACACGGGTAATCGACCGCATGCAACGGTGCTCAAAGCAGAGAGACGTTGCAGGTCAGCGATACGAACAAGCCGTCTCGC